TTGATCACACAATAATTTAAATGATATCAAGTCTTATTAGAATTTATAATCATATATACTAGCAGGACCCGTGGAAAATCCACGGGATTCTAGGAGGGGAGGGGGAGGGGGGGGGGGGGGTAAATAGAAAGAGGCCTATGAGGTTATGTGCAATCAAAAATAATATGTGATTATTTTTATATAGGGTATAGACGATTTTTATAATCTACCCTGTTTGACCATGAATGGCGACCGTCATACCCGTTTGAAAGCATTGATTTGATGCAAGAACTGTTTATCACTGAGTAAAGTATTCTAGTATTCTAGTATTCAGCTAATGAGCTAGGTAATGTTTTTAAACGACCCGGGACCGTCTGATTTTCTTGTGAAAACTTTACTTTGACAATTGATTATCGACATTCAGCATACAACTATACATGGCCAGAATAATCACAATCTAAGCTCAGGTTTCATACCTCTATAATCACGAAACTATATTGAAATCAGGGCAATAAGAGCAATTTCAAAGTGTTATCGAATGTCGAGTCTACTCTATGTAGCCCAGCTCAGCTCACACACAGTCACAGTTCCGACAGTGCACGGCAGCAGTGCATGTGGCGCAATGCGCTGTCCGTGTGTGGACTCGAGCCTCAAGACAGCCAGCTTGCAACTGAACTGTAAGTTACGATGGATTCCTTGTGAAAACTTTACTTTGAAGAATGATTATCACAATTCAGTAAACATGGACGGGATAATCACAAAGTTAGCCCTGCTTTCATACCTCTAATTCACGTTAACTATATACAAATCACAAATCACGGCAATCATAGAATGAAAGTCGCAAACCGACTGTGCGTGTGACATGAGCGTAAAATCATCGCATACACGTACAGGCATAGGCCGTCTGGCGTACAAAGCATACCCTATAGCAAGATCCATAACACGGGTAAGCCCAGCCCGTCAGAGCGTAGATTTACTACATCTCATCAACCGGGTGAGTCATCGGTTAATGTGTATTTCTCTGACACGCTACAAAGCATATCCTATAGTAAGAGGTCTAACTCGGGGTACGCCCCACCCTTTTACGATGAGATTTGCTACACCCGTTGATGCGAGTGGATTCTTGTTTATTATGTGTCTCTTCGTCTCTCTTTGATAATTAGACAAAGGGCGGGAGCACGCCTTGTCAACTCGCTCTCGCGGGTTCGTCGCCTCCTTGCAATCCACGACGCCCGCCGTGCTTTCGTCCGCCCGTCCTCCCCAAACCCCGAAACCGCGTTTAACGGCATTGACGTCGATCGCGGGGTCGAGGTGGCACGCGGGTTACGGGAGACAGGCCTCGTGGAATTGTGCCACCGTTCCCGCGCCACGGTGGAGGCGAGCGGGGTCGGGGAAAGACGTTTTTGAGGAACCGTTTTGCCCCGTTTTAGACCCCCCGCGGCGATTTTGCGTATTAATAATATAGATGAACATTTAACATGTATCATTATAAAAGTTTGATTTGATAGAAAGTTGTCATCTTATGATACAGAATTTATAATTCATTTGCTCACAACATGATTAACCAAATGTCTAAATAATGCATAGGCATGTACCAGATATGAACCAGATATCATTTATGATGGAAGAAATATGTGTTGGAAAAAATAAACCATAATTTGGAAATACAAACATATTTTTGCTTTACCCATGCATATAAATTATACACTTTAATACTTTAACACTTTAATAAGCCTTGCTTTAAAACTGAATTATTTACATTCATATATGTATATCCTCCTTTTACAAACAAATTTGTTTTCAATGACTGTCAGATAGGGTTGATTAAGATTTGATGATTAGCTTACATGTATGTAAATATAAGGCTTAATTTCCAATATATTATAGTTACTAGGATAAAGTTGTTTGCATTAATTAGAGAAATACAATAACACAATATGGTAGCTGAAAAGAGAATAACATAGTTGAGCGACCTTTATGGGAAGTTTTTCTCTCTTCAGAATGATTAAAACATGGTAGTGCCCCTGTAATCAATATATTCTGGTTGGAGAAAAGGTCCCTGGATTGATATATTTTTGCATTTATCCTTGAGTTGTGTTCAATCAACAGTTATAAATATCTCTCTTACCTTCCCCTTTCCTTTCCACCAACTGACACATATCTCTCCCTCTTCTCTTGTCCTGGGCACTGTTCACATTTAGTATGTGAGCTTCTGTTGTCCTGGGCACTGTTCAGATTCATATTTGAAACTATCTTGTCTTGGGCACTGTTCACTTTAGTGTGTGAGCTTCTCTTGTCTTGGGCCCTGTTTACACTCATAATTGAGCTTCTCTTGACTTGGGCACTGTTCACACTCATATGTGAGCTTCTGTTGTCCTGGGCCCTGTTCACATTCATATTTGAAATTATCTTGTCTTGGGCACTGTTCACTTTAGTGTGTGAGCTTCTCTTGTCTTGGGCCCTGTTTACACTCATATTTGAGCTTCTCTTGACTTAGGCACTGTTCACACTCATATGTGAGCTTCCCATGTGTTGGGCCCTATTCACACTGAGTTTTTCATTTTCCTTACTGTCTTGATGGACTGTAAAACCAGAAAATGCATGGGATTTGTGGAGGTGCTGTTGTAAATTGTAGAGTGGTTCATTCTCTTGTCTCTCAATTCAAGGGTTGAAGGTTTGAATCTTACGCTGCTACTAACATCATTTGGCAAGACATTACTCCAGTAACTCCACATTTGCCACTTGCCACCCAGGTGTTAAATGGGTACCTGGTAGGAAGAGAAATTCCTTGTAGTTGTGCCTGGCTGGAATGCTCCCCAGGGAGTGGAGACTGTTCATACATTGTACATTGTCTGTGGGCAAGCCTGAATCCAATTACTGGGTTAATGATATAATCTGAAAACGCTTAGAGACATTGTCAATGACTGCTCTATAAACTCAGAGTATTAGTATTATTGTTATCAATCTTGCGTTGTCAGTACTTGAAAGGGTGTGTGGGCAGCAAGTCAAAATAATTTGAGACAGTCTCTGTCAAAACAACTTGTACATATACCTTTGTGGTCAGGCAAGCAAGCCCTTGTAAATATCAATGCACAAATTCGATCATGCGTAAAATAGTGAGAATCAGCGTTGTTGAGTGCAGGAAAAGACAGGAGACAAGCAACTTTGTTGAGGTTTTCCTGCTTGTGTATTGACAGTCAAAAGAAACAGACTGTTCAACTTGATCTGAATTACAGAAAGAGCATTGTGACAATGTGAGCACTGAATTTGGAAGCAATTTTTTATCAAGTAGTATATTTATTTTTATTATTTATTTTATTCATTCATAGCAACCAAAGGGTTGGATTGTATACATTTTCAACATGGTTATGAACATTATTAAATTCAGTATAATGAAATTGATAAATTATAAATAGAAATACAATGTAGATCATTAATACAAAAAAATATATATATGGTAATGTTGGTACTTTGATCACCTTGTTTAGTTTTGACTCGTTTTTGTTGTTTCATTGAGAAACGGTTTGATGGTCAATGCCCTACATTCTACAAGGAAGTTTGTTTGATATTTTAAAAAAATAATTACTTTTGAAAGCTTGGAAAACAGGGAAGTTGCAGAGATGCATGTATGAAGAGTGCCTCTGTTGACATGCAGGAATGATCTGATATCGATATGTATCATCGTCAGTCCTTAATTCAGTCCACATTTTATACAGCAAGATAAATGCCATGTACCCATTGCATTTGATTTTTTTCTCTCTTTCTCTTAAAAAATAAAAATAAAAAATAGGACATCGATTATCGATAGCTTGAGTACAGTTAGGTAAATATATTGTGGTGATTTTTTTTGGTTAAGATTCCAAGATTCCAATACTCCCACGACAATTGCCCTTCAATGAATTAATTGTTGCTGTTTGAATTTCTTATTTAATGTGATACCTTTCCCTAACTCTAATAATAATAATATTTAATTTTTATATAGCACTTGATACAAATGTCTCTAAGCGCTTTACAAATATACTATTACCCCGGTCATTGGATTCAGTGCTTGCCCGCACAAACTGTGTGCACAATCTCCACTCCCTGGGGAGCATTCCAGCCAGGCGTTACTTGACGATCAACAATGACTGCCGCATCCTACCGGGTACCCATTTGACACATGGGTGGAGAGTAGCAAGTGCAGGTTAATATCTTGCCAAAAGGAAATTAGTGCCGTGTCGGGATTCGAACCCTCGACCTTCGCGTCTCCAGTCAAGCGCCTTAAACCACTCGACCACGACACTCCTAAACCTGACATAAGACCCAATCACATCCCTAAACCTTTATCATTAAGACGTCAACAAAGAAAAGCTCAGAACAAATGTGGGTCACCTGATGCTACTATTTGTTGTGCTTTATTAGGGGGCACTGCCTTTTATCCTCTCTGTTTGATGGAGGAGGAGTAGGAGGAGAGGGGATGGGCCTGGTGGGGGTGATTGCATTTGTAAGATTTCCATGATAACTCTTCATTCTGAATATTTCATTGCTTCCTTTATAGGGAAACGTATCCACCCTTGTTAATGTGGTTCCACTCAGGATAATGATGTCACAGGCAGACCTGCCAATCAGTACGATTTAGTGGTATTTCGTACTATTTTGTCGTATTTCGTACTATTTTTAGAAGCAAATACGACAGTACGATATTCCTCAATAACATATGATTTTCAAAAATAATATTTAAAAAAATAAATTTTCTGTGTGTGTGTGTGTGTGTGTGTGCCATTTTCAATGGCAAAATTCCCATTCTGTCCTGTAAAGTATCCTACAAGCATCTCACATCGGCAATTTGGAGATGTTCATTGATTTATCGAACACATTAGTCGTGACGAAATCATGCATATTCAACCAATGATCCATAAAAAAAATTCTTCCTGTATTCAGGAACTGTAAGACGCATTGATCCGCGCAGGTCTGAAGATGACTGAGCAGCATGCTTAATTTTTAAAAATTACCATCTCCCTTTTTTCCCCTCTTTTCTACAGCCTATGGCAAGGTCTTCCTGGTGCGGAAGGTTGGCAATCACAACCAGGGCAAGCTCTACGCCATGAAGGTGCTCAAGAAAGCAACGATCGTCCAGAAGGCAAAGACTGCAGAGCACACCATGACAGAGAGACAGGTCCTGGAAGCCGTCAGGAGTTGTCCGTTCCTCGTCACATTACACTATGCCTTCCAGACTGACTCCAAGCTCAACCTTATACTAGGTGAGACCAGTGTCCCTGCCAGACTCCAGCCCGGGTTAACTCAGGCTTTAGGATACCTGCTTTGGAGTAAAGAACACATATTTTACCAATCTAAAATGACAGAAACTTTGATATATTTTGATGTAGTGAGTAGTGAGTTTAATATGAATTGGTACCGTATTTGCCGGCGATAAGGCCGCAGCGCGGCATAGGCCGCACCCCAACTTTGACATTTAAAAAAACAAAAACAAAGGAAAACAAAACAAACGGACATAACAAAATAATCGTAATTTTCTCGTAAAAACACTATTTTTTTTTTACAAACTGATACCAAATTCATCAATATTCTTATAAATTACCGGAAGTTAAGCCAAAAATTGATCGTGGGCAGATTTGGCGTACGATATATACCCCTACCACAATGTACGGTGTAATGCGAAATTGCATGAAATGGAAAACATAATGGTGACTTCGGATGGATGCTTCGCGGCAGCTCCATTAAATGGTCCCTTCCTTTACTTTTGCAATGCATTGGCACGAACTTACATGTAGATCAAGATCTATCGGCAAATGTTGGTTTAACAATTTATTTTCGTCTTCATGTCAACAATGCAAGATAAAATTGTTGGTAAGATGTGTGGAAATGTCCTGTACCATATACCATAGTGGTATAGTTATTGTACCGTTCGTAGTCCCATATGTGCAAATTCGTGCTGGTTTTGACTTGAGTTTTTTTTTTTCTTTTTTTTTCTCCTCGCCGTAAAGGCCGCACCCCAACTTTTTTATATTTCTCTTCCAAAAATACTGCGGCCTTTACGCCGGCAAATACGGTAATTGGTTATTCTTTGATGAAATTTTGGGGGAGTGGGGGGTAGTTTTATTTAGAAAAAATGAAATATTTTCATCATTCATACATGTATGCATATATATAGTGAGGCTGGTCATAATCACTAAGAATCACATCAAAATTAGTTTCTTAAATGATTGCTATCAGGGCCATGTATTATAAAGAGCTGTGGTCGATTCAAATCAATCGAAACTATTTATAAGACAGGGCCCAGATGCCTAAACATCATGAACTGTATAATCATATTGTTCCCATTTGAAAAATTGATATTTCACTCTTTAAAAAATCTAATCACATTCCCCATGCTCTGGAATCATTCTAGATTATGTGAACGGCGGCGAACTGTTCACCCACCTCTACCAGAGGGAGCACTTCAGAGAGAGTGAAGTCCGTATCTACATTGCCGAGATCATCATAGCCTTGGACTGCCTACATCAGGTCAGTGAACAAAAAAAAGTCTCTTCTTTGGATGTAAGACGTGGACCCCGTCTTACAAAGAGTTGATACCAATCGCAACTTATTTGCAATTGATATCAATTGAGCTATGTACATAAGAGATAGGAGACTGCAAACTTGCGATTGATTTAGATCGATCGTAACTCTTTGGAAGACGAGGCCCTGGTAACCCTTTAGCCCCAAACTGCCTCAAAAGCCATAAATTTGATCTTCTCTTACAGCAGAATTTGATACAAGGTATTTATTTTTGGTGTAACATGTAAATAAGATATGTGAGTGAGAAGTGCTAAACCCTAAAGTTTTTGCTTTTGGTCAGCTTGGGTAGTAGATAAAGGTCTGTATGCATGGGGGCCACCTATAAGAATTTTGAAAATTTGGGGTCTGGAGTTAGACTTTGTGGGCCCATACATTGTATGTACTGGGCACCTGTTAGTATCAAGCCCTGGATTAAGAAATGATTTAGCTTTTGAAAGTTTCAAAAAAGCGGTAGACTTTGCCTGAAAATCTGCATAAGAAAAAACAATCAACAAATGTGTAGATCAGCTGAAAGAAATCTGAAAAGAGCTCCTGTAGATAGGGAAGTACCATTGTTATAACGCTCGTTAACTTTTGGGGGATTCCCCCATTTGAGGACTGCATTGTAGATATTTCTGTTATTTCTGTCCGTCTGAAACTGAATATTTGTTTCAGTTTGCGATTTTGTGTTTCTGCCCGCAAGTAGAGGACAACAGTGCATGTTAGTGATAATGTATTAACATATCCTCTAGATCATCTGGATTTGGGGGGGGGGGGATACAATGTCAAAATGTTAAATAGTACCCTCAAATCTTTTAAAGATGTCACCTGTTTTTATTATTGATATCTGTTATCAGTATGTGTTTATCTTCACCTGATGTGGACGTATTATTTTGCACATTTAAAATTTGGATTTGGTTTTAAAATCAGCTGATTATTTTTTCCTACTTTGCGATGGAAATGTGCAATGTTCAAATCAGTTAGTCGATTGGAGGATGATCGGTATCCTCTTTACATTGCTTTATTTTGTATTGTAAAGCTTCTTTTGTGAAGTATTTGTATGTTGATTGAAGCGCTGAGTGCTGGCAGTGTGCATGCCTTGTACTCATTGGGTCAGGACATAGGTAATATATTTCAGCTGTATGATAATATATTTCATGTACAATTTTGAGAGTACATATTTCACCTCTGCAAATTTGTTCTCCTCGCTTTTGCTTTTAGTGAGGTTAAAATATAGGTTAATGATAAATATTCAAGCCAATAAAATTGCTTATAATACGAAGTGTGGGACAAAATTTGAGCGAAATCACATCTTTATGTGGGCTTTACCCTATTCATACCAGTATTTTTTCATCGAGAGCCTTATGCAACCAAATTGCCAAACTCACAAATTAAGCAAAATCACATCTTTATGTGGGCTTTACCTTATTCATACCAGCAAGATTTTATTGAGAGCCTTATGCAACCAAATTACCAAACTCACTTTTGCAATTCAGGTTGGCTGGCTGTCAGAGATGCACCAGCCAAACATCACCATGGTAATAGCATTGGGAGCTGTTAGATGTGTGGGTGGGCAGGCTGGCAGGTTGGAATATTATCCAGCGGTTGCATGCATTATGAATGGCACTTCCTGCTTATCTCTCTCCTTCTATTACTCTTTTTCTCTCTCCATCTCTCTCCCCCCCCCCCCCCCTCTCTCTCTCTCCTCCCTCTCTCTCTCCCTCTCTCTGTATCTCTGTCACTGTTGCTCCATTTCTCTCCCTCTGTCCCTCCCCTTTCTCTTTTTTTTTCTCTCTCTCCCTTTCTCTCATGCTCTTAGTCTCACCCTCTCTCCCCTCTACCTTCTCTCTCTCTCTCTCTCTCCCTCTCCCTTCTCTCTCTCCCCTCTCCCTCCTCTCTCTCTCTCCCTCTCTCTTTCCCTCTCCTCTCTCTTTCCCTCTCCATCCTCTCTCTTTCTTTGTCTCTCTTTTACCCCCTCTCTCTTTCTCCCCCTCTCTCCCTCTCCCCTCTCTCCTTTCTCCTCTCTCCTCTCTCCGCTCTCCCTCTATCCCTCTCCACCCCCTCTCTCTATCTCTTTCTCCATCTCTCTCTCTCTCTCTCTCTCTCTTTCTCTCATACTTTCTCTCACACTTTCTCCCTGTTCATCAGTCACCCTCACTCTTGTTCTCGCCTGCCCAGGGTCCTTTAGCGGTGAATGTGTGGGGGCAGAGAGATGGTTTCAACATTCAGACCCTACAGTATCTGTCACTTTCGTCATTACCCATCCAGTAATACATTGCCACTATTTATGGTTCGGCTCAGTAACTGTAGACCTCTTGTACAATCATCGTCTGTTGAAAAGGGTACCCCACTCCGTATGCGAAGTGGAAAATAGATTTAAAAAATGAAATTGAATTTTTAGTTTACAGCCCTTAAAATCTACCAGATGCATGAGCATGAAGAATAACAAAAAATTCTATCCATATTTGTTGGATGGCCATATGGCGATTTGATTCAAGGACTTTTGGAAAGGAAAATAAGCATGAAAACCCTTAAATTGGCAACACATTGAAGAGTCGAGAATTGCTCACTGGTAGGACAGTGGTCTTTTAGATGGAAGGTTCGAATTTCAAAACAAAGACGATTTGCTAGTGCCTTTTAATCAGATATCAATCCTCAATTACCAAGTCCCTCAGATAGGACTCCAAGATGTGGGTGACAGTGGGTCCTCTAGTTATTTATCTACCAACATATAGGCCTTGCTTACTACCTTTTAAACAGTTTGGTAGAATAAAGTCATCACCACTGCATAAATCATTTAATGCTTGCAGAAAAGTGGTATGAAGAGTAGACTGTGTATTAGGGTAATGTTGAAACCCTGGGAAAAGATATTGCAAGGACTCCTTTCACGAAAGAGGACATTGTCAAATTTTTCACATTATGGACCATTTTTTTTTTTGTGTATGTAAACCACCTCTTCAAATTAATGGTACTAAAAGATTAATTTTCATAAAATTAGGATACACTGTAGATTTGCAAATATATGTACATGTACATAGCTCAGTGGGGTATAAAAGGTATATTTTATAGATAAGGTCATTAGGAATATTATACACATTTATTTTCTAATTATATTTATTTCGACTCAATTTTATGCAGGTACAAAATTTATTCCAACAAAATTGTAGCTCATATCACCAGATAATTTAAGAAAACAATATGAGCAAAGAAATACTAATTCCTCAATTGATATAGTAGCTTTACTGCACATTCAAGATTGCCAAACTCTTAGCAGCTTATTAATGCTCTAATGTTGTGATTTCTTTAACAAAATTTTTTTTTTCATCTATCTTTCATATATCTTCCATTGGTGTGCTTTCAAATGCAAATTTTTAGTATTGGGAGAATATCGCAATTTGCTGTTGATTCTGCTGCTAACTTCCTTGAAGACACAGTGAGTGGGTGTTTTTGTTGGTCAGTCAACTCTACAAAATACACAATATTAATGGAATGATAAATATTCTGTTCACGAATATCGCATGTGATATAATGTCTCCATATGCTTTCGAAGGGCTTTAGATATATCATCTAGTCTTTAGCTCTGGTATCTGTTGTCAGCACATACATGTAGTATACTTCCTTTTTTTAAAATTTCTGTTAAAAATTTCCATTGACAATAACACACAAATAAATACAACAGTTCCACATATACATTAAAAACCTCATTGGCATTTAAAGGGAGATGCTTGTAAACTGTGATGATAATAAAAAGAAATGGAAAAAATTAAACACCTGTAAAAAGCGTTTATTTAGTTTATTCAGGGCCCAGTAGATATTTCCTACATGTACATCTATTAAACACCCACTTATAAACTGCACCCGAGTCGAGAGTGGCAAACATAGATTAATGTCTATTGCCAAAGGAGACAGACATTAGTACATTGCCGAGGCTTGAACCTGTAAACCTACGCACCCCCAGTCATCGTTTTAAAACCAATGAACTTTAAACCACTTCTACAATAATCTGTGATGAGAGATGCCAAGAAGAGAGAAAATGACACCAATCTAGGTCAATGCTAGTTTGATAAGAACCCCACTTTGTTTTTTTATGTAGACGAGTATTTCAGGGTGTTTGGCAACAAATGCACACTTGATTGCTTCACGATATTAATGCTAAGTCATTTTTTTATAGTATGCTAGAAAAAAAGGAAATAATATTACTACGTCTAATCACCCACTTCTTTGGAAAGGGAATAATATGTGGGTGTGTCTGTTCAAGTTGATCTAATTTAGGGCATCCATACTTGTATGTAAAGCGAGGAATAGGAATCTTGCTTGAGCCATAGAATCTGGTTTTGTAAGGTCCATGTACAAGCGATCGTTCATGCGGGGAACTTGTTGAAGTAACACGAAGGTGAATAACACTGTCCATGAAAAATCATAAAGAATTATTCATCTATCTGTTGAAAGCCAGAAGGATATAAATTCTGTATTTTTAAGATGTCAGTGTTACTCAACCTTTTATTGTCATGGCACCGTTTTAAAGAATAACAGTTTTGCATCGCCCTAATCCCAAACTTATTACAGAAGATTCATTTCACATCACCCTGGAACTCGTCATATGCCATGTACACATGTATGGACACATTTGTTTCTAAAATTTGTGAGCGAGTTAAGCGAGCAAGCAATAAAAAGAAGACATGTTTAATATGCAGACCTGCCAACCAGTACGATTTAGTCGTATTTAGTACGATTTTTAGAAGCAAATACGACAGTACGATTTTCCTTAATAAAATATGATTTAAAAAAAAAAAAAAAAAAAATGATTTTTTAAAATATTTTTTAATTATTTTTTTTATTTGTTTTTATTAATATTTTGTGTGTGCGTCCGCCATTTTCAATGTCAAAATGTCCATTCTGTCCTGTAAAGTATCCTACAAGCATCTCACATCGGCAATTTGGGGATGTTTATTGGTTATTCGAACACACCAGTCGTGACGAAATAATGCATATTCAACCAATGATCAATAAAAAAAATTCTTCCTGTAGGTAGAAACTGTAAGAGGCATTGATCCGCGTAACAATCCGTGTTTATTTTCAAGAATACAACTTTTGTCAGTAAAATACAACTTTTGACACTAAAGAATACAGTTTTTGAACTCCAGAGGTTGGCAGGTCTGAATATGGTAGATATGTTATTCTGTTATCAAAACATGATAGATGAAATATAAAATATGAATGTTTGCACCTTGCTGCAGAATACATGAATACAAAAATAATGTATTTGGTCACCTCAATACACAAATATGAAGATATTCAGGCATCATCCTGTTTTTAGATATTCTGAGCTAGTGAAATGTACATGGGTGGAAACAAAATGTTATTTCAGTGTTAAAATACATAAGATAAACTTGGGAACCTTGCTGCCTGAATGTGTCAAATATATATACTTGCATCTCATTGCCCAAATATGGAGATATCCAGGCACTGCATTGACTGAAATCATCTTATTTCTTAATGTTGCAAGTGAGCAAAGCAAGCAATGAAAAAGGACACTCAAAGAGTCTTTAAAAGGACATTTCCTCATGAAAATACAAAGTGGTTTCTACCATTTTCCCCTCATGGTTTCAACATTAATTTCAAACTGGATCTTTAAATAATTCTCTTGTGGCACCCCAGAGATGTCCTGTGGCATCCCGGTTGAAAAACTGAAAAAATTGTGTAGCACAAGTACATGTACCTTTTGTTTTAACATATTCAGTATTAGAAATTCAGTTATAAAATTGTTTTAAAAAAATGAAATTGCACTTCCAATTTTGAGTAATATTATTTGTTAAAGACAATTTGAATGGGTCTAGTGGATGAGCAAACACTCATGTGGATTTCACACACCAGATTTAAGTCAAAAATTCTGTTTAACACAATTATTTGTTAAAATCTTGTTGAAATTGGAACAGCACAAGGGCTCAAAAAGGATGGGTTTTCAAACTGTGTCAATACATGCACAAGTGGTACATACATCAAATGTGACTGAACTTTTTGCTCTGGGCAATTGGAGTTCTTTACCCAGCGAATGCATGCAATATACATGTACAGACCCACAGGGCATAGATAAGGTCTTTAGCCTAATTACATTCATGTATCTGTTGTGCATGCATGCATGCATGCTGAAAATGTACTATTTGCTCAAGGGGAGAAAAAACCGTTTGAGCTTCAGGAGGCTACACTGTGCAGCATTGTTTATGGCTATTTCCAAAGTGTATGACTATTTCCAAAGTGTATGAGTAGTTGCACCTATTTTGCAGGGTTTTAGGAAATCATTTGAATTGTGTCGGCAAGAGAAAATAAGAAATTGGAACAAGAGAACATTGGTTGTTGTTCAATGAATACAGGATGCAAGCTAAATGTATTGTTGAGACTTCCGTTGAAAATGTCCTTTACATACTGTATATTGAATAATAATAATAATAATAATAATAATGGGTTCTTGTATGAATGATGAATAGAGGTTGTGATTTATCTCGCATGAGTCATATCTTCGGTTCCAATACAATTCATTCATATTTTTCAATTCCAGTAAAGATTCAGAGGATTGAAGCACAATTTGATATGCCCTTTTTATATGTCACCTTCATTCTTTCTCATTTTGCGCTGGAAAATTAAACAAATGTCTTTTGGTGGTTCAACTTTTGCTCAAGTTTGCATTTGTTGCACTAGGCTTTACTTTGTCAGAGATATATAGTACATTGCACAGGCCTTAAATTTCGTCATTTTTAGGGCAAGGCCAGTTTGGCCTCGAGTACCTCATATTTTTAAGGGCACCAAGGCCAAAATATTTTTACAAAAAGGGCATCGAGGCCAAAATATTTTACAAAAAGGGCATCGAGTATGAGGCCAAAAAAATTGATTCTACTTTTGTTAGATGTCATGTGTATTTTATGAAACTTGTGTGGGATCAATTTCCCATGACTTTTAGCACCAGCTTCTTCACAGAATGTATAGAGGTCTACGGTACATACAAACAAGGCGACGGCCCGCAAGCCTTAGATTTAGCAGCCAGGAGCAAGGGGCAATTTTTTTTTTTAAGTCGCCCTTTGCCATAGGAATTTACCAGAGCAAGGGGCAATTTTCCAAAAACAGATAGTCTAGGCCCCTTATCTAATCATAAGTTCAAAGAGAGTTGTTAATTTCATAATGTGAATAGATCGAACGATCAATTTAATAACTTTTTAATCTTAACAATATGAACAGGAAAGATTGATTAAGAACATTAAACTTGCACATTAAACAGTATTCTAAAGTAACTAAAAATATTGATGAGCAAATGAATAAATAAATTGTCAATTTCACAAACATCGAAAGTCAGAAGGACTTGGCAAGTTTACCGGGCCGGGTATCCCAAATCAAAAATCGCACCTCACACACAAACCTTCCGCCACTCTCTCGGTAGTAGGAGCAAATTTGAAGAAATTATCTTTTTAACTGTTGTATAGAAAGGTCTAGATAGAGTAAAGTACCCGGTTTTCGGCCACTTAAGACAAAATCCTATTTATTGGACTCTTTACTTCCTATTTATTATCATTTCTTGTTCAAATCATGAAGCAAATATTATTATTATTTAAACAAAAAAAGAATCCCAAAAAAAAATCACGAATTGCCATGACAATATTCATTTCAATTTTCACTGTTTTGGAGCCGGTTATTGGCCGAGCGTTTCAGTTTACGGCCGCATGTACAAAGTCAATAGGAAGCGCTCGCGCGCGCCGTGCGTTTCTGCGCTGATGTATAGCACAAGCGGGCGGAGCAGGTATCCCACGCCGGAGCTCCCGGGTGCTCGCCTGGCCGAATACAGGCACAGCGGTGATCGGAAGTTGGAATCTGAATTAGACAGACATATCGTGTGTGCGTCGCGGTGTGCGGCTGCATTGATTTAATACATGCGATGAGATACTTTTGAGCTTGCGACCAGCACAAAATCGGGCTCTATATCTGAAAAATACTTGAAATAAAGCTCATTTTATGGTACCCATATTTCTTACATACACGCGTAAGAAACTCGATTTTTCAGATTTGGGTAGCGGGACCGCCGATTACATCGCTAAAATGTGATATTTTAGGATATATTTTTCATTGCAAATGTGGTTCTTCAGTGACACTGGCATGATATGGTATGTGTGGGATATGTGTTATGCTATTATGCGATGTATTTTAAAGTGATTTTACCATGTATCCAACCAATTGGCCGAAAACCGGAGCTGACCGATTACCGGGTACTTTACTCTAGGCCTAACTAATGAAATAAGATGTAAAAATGTCCTTATAGACATTCGACAGCTGAAAGTGACACGCTCAGCTCAGTTGCGTAACATGCATTCACGAAACCAAAATCGTTCCTCGCACACACACTCTCGCCACTTTTGGTGGGAAGCTGTCGGGCTGGAAGTTTGCCAGCGAAACCGATGCACCCTCGGAGACTCGCAGCGCGTAATTTTACCGGGACTCGAAACGTTCGTCTTGGGAGGCTGGCGGGGTAGCTTTTTGAAGCGAGGTCGGCTGGTGGCAAAATGAGAGTAATTACGATCGAGAACATCGTAGGTGTTCTTAACTTATTAATAAGATAATTCTAAATTCTATTTGAGATAAAATAATGAACTAGACCTACAAACAAACCTCGACAGATCTCTAATGACTATTTGAATGCTTGTTTATTTCTCCATTTGACGATTTGTTTTCTTGATCCTGGCCTTTGATTTGTACGTACGTGCGTGCGTCAACAACATGCACCATATGCATATCATGCGATCGCATGAACGTACGTACGTGCGCTAGCGCATTGCCTATATAATAACAAAGGGCGCATTTTCACGGCACTTGCGCCTTATTAAAGCACTAAATACGAAGCTAGAAGAGAGCTCGTGGGCGGCAAACTGTTCGTGATTCGTGTATTTTTTCTGTTCTAAAAATTTATGGGCGCATTTTCACGGAAAACACTTGCGCCTTGCCGTCTAGTTTTAAGCGCAATTGGTGGTTTTATGTGCGCAAATTTAAAAAAAAAAGGGCACGTCCAGTTGGAAAAAAGGCACGTCGGCCAGTTTGAAAAAAAGGGCACGGCCTTTTTGGCCGTGAATTTATCTTTTTTTGGGAGGGCACCGCGGCCAGTCATAGGGGCATCGACGGCCTGGCCGTCGATGGCCGTCGATTAATTTAAGGCCTGATTGCACTTGTGGGACGAGGGTAGGGTGTTATCATATAAAGTTTAGGATTAGGTTTTGGGTTATGATCAGGTTAAGGGTTGGAATTAGGTTTAGGGTTAGGTTTAGGAACTTTAGGATGAGGTTTAAGGTTAGGGTTAGGTATTATGTTAGGCCCAGAATCCCGGGTTGAATTCAGAAATTCAATGAGGAATTGGCCATGAAGGAATTATAGTCAGGGCTAGTTTCATAAATCTTTCTCATACAATATGATACTTTCATATTTATCATTTTCAATATATTTACTTAGGAGGCTGTAAAGAATACGTCTGAATTGATGTGTTGGCATCACCCCCCCCCCCCCCTCCCTGCCACCTCGTTCTCATTATGCAGCTCAGAACTAATCAAACCATTTACATGTATGTAAATGAAATGATTCAATCAATTCACATTGTTCAATTTTCTCTTAAATCTTTGTCTCTCTTCTCTCTCTCTCTCTCTCTCTCTCTCTCTTGCAGCTTGGGATCATTTATCGAGACATCAAGCTCGAAAACATCCTATTGGACAAAGATGGTCATGTGGTCTTGACAGACTTTGGACTCAGCAAAGAATTCCTCACAAATACCGTAAGTAACTACATTTAATGAAAGGACAACATGAGATATTCATGTTCATGGTAGCATTATTCATTTATTATGCACTGCACACAGATTAAGTCACAACAAGCAAATACTTTTCTGAGTAAATATTCACAGAAAAGTACGTTTCCACATATGAGACTGTACGTGTTATGCATATTGTCCAGGCCATTACTCAGCTATACTATCTACATGTACGTGTATTAGAGCAAGACATTTTTTTACCATTATCGTTGGGCGGATATGATTTATTTTAAAATTTCAAACAGCAGGATTTAATTATTTTTTAAAACTCTAATACCAGCACTTGAGATTGCATTTAATGTAAGCATCTTGACTATGGACAAGGAAATACATGTTCTCAAATACACATTCACAATTCAATTTTTTAAAGCAACCGTCTAAAAAAGTCTAAAAGTGATTGTTTTGTCTATGTTGGGGATAATAGTGTAACTTGGGGATTTGAATGACAACAAATTGATATAACTTCTTTTCAGACTATCACATACCGGTACCGTGTACATACCAGTACACATGTAATGTACTACACCCTTGTGAAAGAAATACTGATGGGTACTTACATTTGAAGTATTTGATATTAGAAGAAAAAAAATAATAACACTTTGCTAAGAATTAAAGAGAAGGTTGAGTTCTGGGAAGAGGTGAAAAATAATTTGTGAGCATTACTCATTCTTATTATGCAAGTGTGGAAGAACATCAGTTAAGACATGTTCCCTGAAAATCATGGCTCTTCAAATGCCTTCATATATGCATGTAACATCGTAAAAATCGGGGGGGGGGGGGGGGGGGCCGGCTTTTTACACCATGTGTTCGTGTAGTCCCATATCCATCTTTCTGTGCAAGTGTTTGTAACTTTACCAAGACTTAGCCAAATTTCTTATCATTTTGATGATTCCAGAACCTTGCAATACACACAAATTCTTATATGCTAGATGATCAACCTTTTCTGGTCGGTTCCACACCGTTTCTTTCACAATGCAATCGCATGACCAGAACTCAACTTTATCTTTAAATGATGTTGTATATATGGGGCTAAGAAAGATGAGCTACATAATGTGTCTATTTCCTTAATCAAAGAGCTATTAAAAACATCTTGTATCTCGCCAGAATTAATCTTAGATATGAAGTGGTGGTCTGCTGCTTGATATTTAATCTGAGTTACATGTAGGTATGATTGAAATACGCCACCGCGTCATATAAACACTTAAAATGTTATGGTACCCTTTCTTAGTTGCACAATGTCTCAATGGGAAATGTACACATGTATGTTCATGTAACTACAACAGATACACAGTACATTATATGAAAAATTTGCATTTCTTTCTCTACGTGTGTGTTTCATAAATGTACTGAGGATCAAAGTGCAAAAATTACCTGCACATATCTTTGTTGATAAGTCGATTCTGTGTTTTTTTATAAGTTATTTTGATGATTATAACCAATCAAATTAATGTATAGCAATGACTCCCAATGTTAAACTGTTATGGCCTAAAGATTTCATCATTTATGTAAAACACATGTGATTGTATCTTTAAAGTTTAGTCACATTTCAGTGAAATGATACCAATGACAATATAATTGGTCTCGGAGGGAAAGGGAAAGACATTTGATGGGGGAAAACAAATCTTTGCTGAAAGCTCATTAACATTTTATATTCAGTAAGCACCAAGCTACCCTACACTTTCTACATAACCCGTTCTTCTTATCATTAATATATCACGATACATGTTTATGATGATACATATATGACCAGGATAACATGCATATTAACGAGGATGTCATTCCTGGCATATGATCATCTATTTTTCCTTATGATCTAAGGATGCCAGAGAAACAATAGGCCATTCAGAATGCATGCATCTTTGTGAAGTGCCTTGATGCAAATTATTTCATTCATCTGTTGCATATAATTGTATTTCAATAGTCAGAATGCAAATTGCATACATTATTTGTTTGTCCTACCTAGCAACAATTGATGTTACAAGCAATTCGCATTCTGACTAATAAAATACAATTATTCTTAACAGGTGAATGAAATAATTTATATTGATGCACTTCACAAAGATGTATACATTAAATTGGTTTACATTACAAAAATGGCCTATTAATAATAAGAGTTTTATTCTAGATTTTCACAATAGCATTGTATGAATAACACAATACACTTTGATGTGAAAAGTGCATTCACCTGCCTATGCGATTGACCGTGTACTATGATACTATCATAGTTCAATAGTAGCGGTCATTAATGGCACTATTATATTCACAATAGAGAGTGGAGAGAATGTAGACTGTGTGATAGCTAATGTCCTTGGATTTGCACACTGAATTAAAGGACTACTCCAACTACTATCTGCTGAGTTGATATTGCTAGAATAAAAAACAAAGTCACTGAACATGAAAGAATAATTTGGTTGGCTGACCCCCCCCAAAAAAAAAAAATCAATGTTACATGTAATTCGTATTTAGAAAAAAAAAGAAAAAAGAGTCCTATATTAAAGAGTCTTGCAGTTGAATTGTGAAAAACTATGCAAGGCACATGGGTTCAAACCTCGGCATGCACAAATGTTCTTAGGTATAATTTATTTACATTAGAGTCGTAACTCAAGTTTTAAAGTATGTGAAAATCTGAAGAATTTGTTCCTTAAACTGTGGTTTGCGTTAGTTCAAACTTAGTTGCCATAGCTACTGCTAGTAACATTGTCCAAAGCTCATTAAAAACTCATGATATGACATAATGTCATTATATAGTATAGTATTAATGACTGCTTTGAGAGAAATAGTTGTTTTATTACGCTCAAGGGAAGGTTAGAATTGTGCTATTCCCCGAGGCTTGCCGAGGGGAATAGCCCAATTGGAACCTTCCCGAGAGCGTATGAAAACAACTATTTCTCGAATATTAAAGCAGTCATTAATACTTTTATATGCCGAAAAAAAATAGACTAAAAAATAAAAAATAAAAAATAATTTACATTTTTGTCGAAGACGGGATTCGAACTCTTGCGTACAACAAGAGGTGTATCGAAAACCAACGCTTAGACCACTCGGCTATCGCGCGCCGTTAACATGCTTGGCAGTTTTCTCCAATATATACATTAAAATGGATTGAAAACGGCTCCGCGTGAGGGATGCTTCGCAAAAGCTCCATGAAACGGACCCTTCTTTTACTTTTGCAATGCATATTGGCACGAACTTAGATCAAGATCTATCGGCAGATGTTGTTTTTTTGTTTTTGAGAGTTAATTTTCGTCTTCATGTCAACAATGCAAGATAAAATTGTCGGTAAGATCGATCGAGATTCAATTGTATTGAAATTGCCGACCAATTTTTCGCACACGTATGGTATCCTCCATCGCTCAAACCATTTTTTAACATGTAAACCTATGGGGTAACCATGGAGACTGACCTATTTTTTTAATAACCATGGTTATTAAAAATATTGAAATGTTTTAAGCATGGTTACCGGGAATTTTACAGGAACAGTTGAAGTTTATGAATGCAATTCGACCAATCAGATGGCTGGATTTCTTAAGTGAGGTATATAATATGTGCTACAACAGAAATACATATATTATTATTGTCAATATATTGTTAGTTCATTTCTTCAATGATAAATTCATTCTGTGTGTTTTAATCTATCACTTTTTTTTTATTTTGACAGGAAGACAGAGCGTACTCTTTCTGTGGGACGATAGAATACATGGCCCCTGAGGTTGTGAGGGGCGGCTCCGACGGTCACAACAAGGCTGTGGATTGGTGGTCGCTGGGCGTCTTGACCTATGAACTCCTGACAGGGGCTTCCCCCTTCACGGTGGAAGGGGAGCGGAATTCACAGTCGCAGATATCACAGTGAGTACTAATCTAGGAATGTAAATAATTAAGTAATATTGACTGCCTTCTGGGCAATACGACATATATCGCCCGAACCGAAGGTGAGGGTGATATATGACAAGTCGTATTGCCCTGAATTAGGCAGTCAATATTACTATTATTAACCACATCAGACATCTAGAGCAAACAAGAAACTCTTACTATCTTATACTCTTAAATTATGTAGGCTATACAGGGTTTCCTAACATTAGAAGTTGCAAAAACATTGTCAAACCAGCACTGTTCATCCAGTGTTTGACAGATTTTCGATACACTGCAAACAGTTTGCCTAGGGTGTGATTGTTACGTCACAATGGAGTTGGCGCAAAGTGCGCATTTTCTTATATGCGATGCGCGATGTAAATTACAGTAGCTGATGCGCGATGTAAATTACAACTGGATCTACATTATTGCTCACTAGTTTAACACGCATTTTGCCATTGACTTTTCTGAGCGGGCTAAAATATTTGTCCATTGGTTTACTGTATAACCTATATCACCCGCCAAATTACACACAAATCCCATTGGGTGGTATTCTCGAAAGCGGCCTAAGTTAAATCAGTGGCCTAAACCTGGTTTAAACCATGGACTATCTTTTTTGCTATTCTCGAAGGTGGCCTAAAGATAAGCCAGGCTTAAATACGTCATAGTTCGGCCTAACTTTAGGCGGCTCAGAGGGCAGGTTTAAATACGTCATAGTTCGGCCTAACTTCGCGTGACGTCACTTTTTAGTTAAATCGACTGTCCGCGGAGAGTGAACGGTAAGTTTTGCATTTGAATTTCTATATTTGATAACAATTTACACTCTTTTGTATGGATAAGCGCTCATGAAAGTTACACCAGCTAATAAAGTATTTTTTTTACTTTCATGTTGCTGTACTGGTGATAATCTAAAATGCTTTTAACTGAATAAATTTGAAGGAAACTTGGTAAATGTTCACAGTGTTCGCAGAGCAGTCCCATACGTGCAAATAATTGTCGGTTAATATTTTCGTTTCCTAAGATTGAGCAATTTCTTACCGGGTAATTCTTTTTCTTGGCACTATTGTCCTTTCGTACGCATATACCACCTTAACACCACCTTAAAACTATCATTGCTAGACGTAGAAACTACTTTTATAGTGGATTTTCGAGACGATGTTGCCTAAAAGTGGACTAGCAGTCTCTTTCGTTCGTTAGCCTCTGATTTGGGTAGTGTCGGCTGTTGTAATTTGGGTTGGAAAGTAGGCTACTAACTATTAAGCTATTGTAAGTATAGAGACAAACAAAATGGAGCCTGCAGAAACACGTGTGGTTGCTTTGGTAGTTTAATCCAGACTCAATATCCATGTGCTTTTACATGTATAATGTAGTGATCGGAAGACCCTTGCATACACTTGCATTGTGTGTAGACTATGCATCTAATATGAATAACAATGAACTGTGCCTTAACAGCTGCAGTGCATTTCTAAGTGGCATGTTAATTTCAATTGCATGTTAGTTTCAATGAACCTGTTTCTAAACATAACATCGGCCCCTCTCTTTCAGCCGACCCTACCCAAATCAGAGGCTAACAAATGAAAGAGACAGAAATTTCGGTCTGGTATCACCTCTGCCTGAGCTGCAGTGCTGTGCTAGTTGTGGCTGTTGGTGTGATGATTTTCATAACCACCCACCCCTGCCCCCCCCCCCCCAAGAATTTTTTTTTTTTAAACAATATTAATAGACCTAGATCTAAATTTCATCAGAGTCTAGTCTAGACAGGTCTAATAGAAATTGAAAGGAAATGGACAAAAGCTTCCTTTTTTGACATACATTTGCTGATAATGTTACTGTAACAGTAGTTTAGTCTAATAATACTATTAGTTAGTAAACTACAGAGAAAGAGAAATTGTAATTTCTCAAATATTAACATATTTTTCATCTTGATTTTCTGCTATTTCAGGTTCTTTTCAATTGATGCATGGGGATGAAAAAAGAAGGCCTCTCCCAAGCTATGGTGTCCCGCCTTGTGAAGTCCATCTCAATAGCCATTGCCAGGAGATGGGAGCAATACATCTCAATTCCTTCAACAAGAGAGGCAGTCCTGCAGAGTGCAGACCCAACATGAATGTTATAATTACTGCCATTTCCCTGGCGTTAATATGGTGCACCCACATAGGCATCTCCAAGCCAGTTGGCCCAACACCAGTTATTTCCTGAACAGGAAAAATAGATACTCCATTTTTCTTGGAAAGTCTGCTGGTGAGTAAAGCTGTAATTACGCCTAAATTTTGTAAACTAAATCATGTTTATACAATTTTTATTAAAAGATCTCCTGATTTTATGAATCTGCAGATGTGTCTACAGGTACATTATGAAGTGATTTAAAATTGTTTTGTCTGATGAATTTAGGTGCAATCTACACTCAAACTTTTATTCATTTTACATGGGCACGAGCTAATATTTTCAGCTCAATTGCCATGGCTACCAGTCACTCCTGACAGTGACAGCTTGGTCTAGACTTTTGGGAGGAACTATCTCTGAAAATAAGACACAAATAATCAACAGTTGATTAACTTCTTTAAAATTTGGGTCAGAAGAAAATTCAAACCTACCGCTAACAATTCTGGACCATATAAGACTTAGAGACCTACAGACTGCAGTACAGTGCAGTGCAGTAAATTTTCATTTTACTTTTTCCCCTTTCACGAAGCTCATTTTGGGAGATAACATAAACAAAGACAATCTTTGGTCTAATGTTAGATTGAACTAAAATGGAAAAGATGGGCTCTAACGATTAGGGCCTTGTAAAATCTCCATTCCAGGCTGCGTTTACATCTAGGTTAAGCCAACTGTCGGTTGGTTATCTAAGTAAGATGTAGACCTCTAGACTTGATTTTAGGAAAGGGACTAACTTAGCTATAGACTTTAACTACTTAGGGCTTTCTTAGGCCATGAAATGACAAGTACAACTTTGTGCAAGCACATTTATGAGATAGTACTGCAAGAATGTGTATGTTTGTTCTTGATTTTAAAAGAGATACCGGTAGTCATTCTGTAAATCAATGATTACTAGTAACTGAGTGGGGAGGGGTGCCTAGTCACTGCCTACATGAAAGGCGCCTTAAAAAAAAAAATTAAGTTAGAGTAGATTTTTGATATTTTAATGAGGTCTACCGTAAACCTTTTTATTTTTGTTTCAGGATGATGTTTTTCTTCAGTAAGATAAATGAAGGCAAATTCCCTGATAACTGAGACAAATTCAGAGAGAGGAAGGAGAACTACTGAGCTGCTGAATTTCTGACAGGTAGGCTGTACGAATAAGTTGTTGTTTGTATGCCCATGTACTTCAAGGATGGCATTTGTTCATTCACATTTTTCCATCAATACTTTCATGTAATTGATTATGCACTCCACTTTTACCACAATGTACATGGAAGACCTTTTTAATCTTTAACAGAAATAGGTTTCAATGTGCTTCCTTTCATTATTTTCTCTTTTCATTCAACAGACATACTTGCAAGGACTATGAAGTTCTACTTAGCCTCTTCAATGAACCAGACTCCATCTGCTGTAACTGTGACTGCGTGGGGATCAAAACCTTTGTATTATAATCCTCATAACATGAAGCTATGGTAACAAACAAGCAACCATTGATAAAAAGCCTGATATATCCTTGTTGTATGTGTGAACCACAAAGCAACCATCACTCATAAGGATGTTTTTATGTACATCAGATCTTCATTGTTTCACTGGAAAATTGTGATTTTGAATCATTTCAGAAATCATGTTTTGTAATGTGTTTTATAACATAGTGCAAGTCATGATATAACAGATTCCCTGCAAAAGAAACATGGCTCAAAAGTAGACTATGCTTTGTTTTAAAAAAATGGGAAAAAGTAATGTAACAAATGCATAACATTTAATTCTAATAGTTTCAAGTTGCAGATTATGTGGCTATTGCAGCTTAATATTTGACCTTCAATTTTATAATCGTATTCATCGTGAATTACAATCTTTTCTGTTTCAAGAAAAATAAATGAATTGAACATAATTGTTGATATGTTATATACAATATTCCTTTCATATCTTTTGATTTTAAGTGTGCATACTGTTGGGTTCATTGAATTATACATGAAAAAAGTCTTGTAATAGAACAGTGAGAGAACAGAGAGCGAGTGAGAGAGAGAGAGAGAGAGTAAAAGAGAAAGGGAACCAAATGAGAAAGAACAATTTAATGGTGAGAGAAATAAACAATGATGTGAGATAGTGTGTGTGTGTGAGAGAGAGAGAGAGAGAGATGGAGATAGGGAGAAAGAGTTGGGGGGGGGGGGGGGGGTACAGTGCCCCCTTTTTCAAATGCCCCTTTTTATATAGGAAAGTTCCCTTTTAACTTTGTAAGAAGTGCCCCTTTTTCCATAGGAAAAGTGCCCCTTCCCCTTTTCACCTCTGATAAGTGCCCCTTTAATTTTGACACGCGCCCCTTTTCCTTTGACAAGTTTTCATTTTTCTTTGCAATAAGTGCCCCTTTTCACTTTTGAGAAGTGCCCCTTCACCTCTGATAATTGCCCTATTTAAATTTGAGAGGTGCCCCTATTAACAAAATTATCGGTGTCCATTTTCTTTCAACAAATGCACATTTCCTTTATTATAAGTGCCTCTTTTTCATTCTCATAAGTGCCCTTTAAAAATATGTTAAATGCCCATTTTCAGGTGCGATATGTGATCCTTTTCACCTCTGATAATTTCCCTTTTAACAATGATACAATTCCAGCAAGTGCCCTTTTTGTTGGTGCTGCCCCCCGCTTTGGAAGTCGCTTCGCCGCCCCTGGACGTCATATTGCTCAAGTTGTCGTGGTGATGCATCCTCTCCACACTGCGCGCATCCATTGTCTTAGCCCATTGTTTTAGTGCATTGTGACGTCATATTGCTCAAGTTGTCGAGGTGATGCATCCTCTCCACACTGCGCGCATCCATTGTCTTAGTGCATTGTGACGTCGCAGCTTCGGTACTGAGC